TTTTTGTCCCACCCATGATATCTTTTTAAGTGGACCCCTCGGTTTCACACGAGATGTGATCATCGGGATTTGGATAATTCAAAAAGATATATCTTTCTTATGTCTTAAAGATTAACGTAGATACTAGTTTTATTGAATTTTCTACAACAGTACTGATCCTCATTGCCGTGTCTAAAGGCCCATATTTCTAATTTAAAGTTCATAAATGATTGAGTATTCCAATCCAAACAAAACATTGGCCATCGTTTCAAAAACTACCACCAAACACTACCACACCCTAGCAACACCGACCTGGTCAACAACGTGCCTCCGCCGCTGAGGCAGCAGCGGCGAGAAAGGCCCGGCTTGCGGCGCGCGCGGCAGTCGCGGGTCGATGAACGTCGTCCGCCGCATCACGTGGTCCACGAAGAAACGCTGTAAACGCGCGCGATGTTAGTAAGCTTTGCCGTCTCGAGGGTTAAGTGGAATCGAAAAAAAAATATTTTTTTTATGCATAACAAGGCAGGTATTTGACCACAATCGCACCTGGTGTTTAGTGGGATGCAGTCTAAGATGGTAAAGCCTGGCCCGTGAGCACGTAGAATTTTATCCAATGACCCCAAGCTACCCATCCTTATCGGTCGCGCGTAATTATGTTGCTTTCGCACTCGCACACTCACTGCGGGCGCCCGTCGCACAGTCGCGACAGCAATATAATTACGCGCGAGCGATAAGGGGTCATTGGACAAAATTCTACGTGCTGACGGACCAGGCTTTACATATCTGCATATAATATACCTGACTTTTGTAACTGAACAAAATGTGCGCTTGCGCATTGTCAGTATCAAACTTCGGCGTTGGTTAGACTACCTATGAGCATCAAGGGTCAAGGTGGACTCAAAAAATTGAAGCAACTTTAGTAACTAACTGGAATAACCACTTTAGAATGTGCGCGTGCGCATTGTTAGTATCAAGCATTAGCGTGGTTAGACTACCTACGCATTGCAAGGGTTAAGTTGGAATTGATTTTTTTTAAATACCTAACTTTACGTCTAACTAAACTAAGAAACGCTGCAAAACGCGCGCGCTTTGTTGTAGAGCTTTATGCTAGACTGCCTACACACCTCAAGGGCTATTGTGGCCACAATGATAAAGTACGTAACTAACTGCAGAATATGCGCGTGCGCATTGTTAGTACAAAGCTTTAGTGTTAGTTAGTTTTCACATTTACGGCGTTAAAGAGAACTCTCTGTCGCAGTATTTTAAACGCGCCAGACGTTAGTTAGTCTGATTTACTGAAAACGTTGTAGAAAATCATCTAATAGCGTTTTTTCTGATCACGTTCGAAGGAGGACAAATCTCGGTTGGTCTTGGATACCATATCGAGGTACTATCTTCTATAACCATGCCATTCCTGGTCAGTTGAATGTCTGACCCAAACGGTCGGTCTACCGACTCGCTGAACATATTGTTGAGCACCATCTCGTCTATTTACTGATAACATAACGTTAGAAAGACATCCAGGCATAATCTTCGAAACAATGTTCATCAAACTATATGTAACGAAAATACCTTGGAAATATACATTCTCTTCACATTACTATGCTTAGTTACCTTGCCATTCCTGTCCAGTTTAGTGTCCCACCCAAGCGGCAGGTCTCGGTCCGACTCGCTGAACATATTGACCAGCGCCACCAAATCCCGGTTATGTTGATACCGCTCGAAGGATGCTGTGTCCCGGCGGATCTTGGAGATCATGTGCTTGAGGGTAGAGTTGCAATTGTAGAGGGATGACGCTTCCTGGAATAACAACAAGACGGAGTTAGGAAATAGCTAGGTGCACTTCAGCTTCGTTAGACTATAATCATACGAGAACTATAAATTAAGTGCCAAAATACTGGTCAAAGGAGATCTTAATGGCATGATTATGTCTTAATTACAAGCGAATGACTCATAATATTAATATTTGATTTTAATAACGTAAATAATTTAACTGTTGTCGTCATTTCATTCCTAATACAGAACCGCTGCTATTAACAACAGAGTCGATTATTATCTCATCATGTTAACGTAACATTAATTATGGACCAGTCTGATAACATTTTACAAATTATTACGTTTGTATATCTGTTATTTAATGACTAATGGCTAATCGCCACTTTGTAAGCGTTACAAATATCTCGCCGTGACCGGTCGGACACCTTTAGTGCCGATATCATCAGTTGAAATGCGTCAACTGGTTACCGGGAACGTTATTATAATATCTTACTCATTATATTATACTATTTTCGGTTTTCGGATCCGATATTAATTTTTAACGATCTTTCAATGGCCTGATCTACATAATTTGATTTAAACATGCATTTTATGATCTTAAATTGTTTTTGATAATTGAAACACGGTTATGAGCAGTTATTTAGATATGCATAGAACTTTACATATGAATATTCAAATCGTATTGAATCGATGTCGCAAATTAGAAATTATTGATCTTGCATCGTTTAATCATGTCAACGATGATTTAATTAAGTATTTTTTATATCTGACTCAAATAAATTAAAGCTTTATTATCCATTCTAGCCTAAACTACTTGCAAGGACATAAAAAGGGCCACTTCAGCTCTGTTCCTAAAATCTAACTAGAGTTAAGTAACGGTATTACATTTTTTAAATTGTCTCATTACAAAGTTCGGGAATAAACGAAATAAAGGCTTTATAGGCCACGCTAACGGTTTACGTAACACGGTTGAGTTAACTGCGCACTTCGCTGGAATGCAAGTCTCCCTCGCACTCACCCGTGTTCGTCTCGTTCGTACCAGAGCGTCGATGTGACGTCACGGCCAAGGTGCGCAGTGAACTTGCCAGGGTTGTACTCACACTTATCAAGCTTAGATTTTTTACTTAAAATAGTAAGACACGGGTCTTAACGCGACGTTTATTAATGAGTTACATTATGTACTCACGGCTTGACGTTTCGGCTGCGATGCTGCCACCGTAGTGACTCACTAATAAACGTCGTCTTACTATTTTAATGAGGGTTTTCGCGAATAAAAATCCGCCAGATGGCAATACGCAGACGCGAGGTCCAAATGCTGCATGATTGGTGGATTTTGACATAACATTGACAGATATGTCAAAATCCACCAATCATGTAGCAGTCAGACCCCACATCCACGTCCCGTCATCTAGCGGATCTTTCATTCGTGAAAACCCTCATTGAAATGGAACGAGAAAGTTTAAAATCTTAGTTTTTTTACTTGTTAAAAACATCACTCACTTGGTTCATATGCAGTATGGAGTAGAAGTCTGGTCGTGCTAGGAATTCCGCAGCGGGGTGGGGGGCGTGGGGTTCCGAGGCGCGTGACGTGCCGGCGGCGGGCGGCGCGGGCGCAGGCGGTGCCTCCTCCTCGGATAGTTGTGTGCGAGTCATAGTGCGGCGGATCGATTGGTATCTGGAAGGGTAATTGATTATTTTAGTCTTTAGAGTACTTCAGCTAAACTACTAAGGCTGGGTTGCACCATCTTACTTTAACTTTGACAAACGTCAAAAATCTGTCAAACTCCATACAAAAACACCGGTTATCGTTTTAGTTAGGTGGTGCAACTCAGCCTCAGTTTTTCCATTTAAATAAGTACATAATGGATGCAATAAAATATTGAGTATTGAGTATTGAATATACCGCGTGGTTCATATTCAATTTTATTTGCCAACTAAGGCTGAGTTGCACCACCTAAATTTGACCGTAATTATAACGATAACCGGTAGTTTTTGTATGGAGTTTGACAGCTTTTTGACGTTTGTAGTTAAAGTAAGATGGTGCAACCCAGCCTAAGTGTTACAAGTTGTTATGTTTATGATAAACTAAAGAGCTCGTAAAAGTTAGGTTCTGACAGAATAGAATAGGACCAATCTCACTCTTCCCGTGGTCGTCATATAAGAGACGAGTAAGGGACAATATGCGAAGATTAGACCTCGCCAACCCATCGGGCTAGCGTGTGTAGGCCAATATCTCCGTTTGAATCTAGTACATTAGAGAGGGTTGTACTCCTTCTGTAGAGAGAGACTACCGCCTCTGTGGTCTAGTGGTAAGACCACCTGCTTCAGACGCAGAGGTCCCGGGTTCGATTCCCAGTGGGGGCAGATTTTTCTGTTCGGTTTGGTTGGTGGTAGGACTTGTTCTAAGTCCGCCTGGCTAGCTACCAACATCTTACCTAATGTCTACTCACGGACATTGCCCGCGGGCGGCGTGACCGGAGGGAGCGGCGAGCGTTCGGCGAACGAACGAGCAATGTTCGGTTCGCGAGCGAACATCTAAGAAGACGATCCTGACGCACTCTCTTCAACGACCTTGCACAAAACGGTCTCGATAACATTGTTAATTTATACCGAATAGACAACTAATTGTATACAGTCCACTCTTTCATTTTATTAACTTCCACTACACTCACTATCGAAGTAACACCTAAGTATATCGCCATAACAACAATGTTAACAGCATTGTTGTGTTCCGGCAGTTACAGGTAAGATAGGCAGTTCCTCTGTGGTTGAGGATTCCGGGTGAAGCTCGCTTCCACCTTTGGCCTGATCATCACTTACCATCAGGTGAGACACATGCCAAGAGCTTCCTCGTTGTGGATAAAAAAAAGACTAAATAACCTGATAATGATGATTCGAGACTATTAGAGGCAATGGTCCCATGCCTCTAAGCAAGCGTGGGGTATACCAACGCCACCGAGTTGCGAGTAAAAATGAACGGTTGAATGTTTCATCAAGTAAAAGCAGTAAACAACTTACCTCCTATCCAGCTGTCTCCTCTGCACCTCGGGCGCTGGTGACCTTGCGGCTGTCCCGTTGACGCCCGGCCTCTGCCACGTCGTGGTCCTGTTGATGTGGTCTATGTAAAACACGCGCCCGTGACTGTCCATCCGAGCTTCCCAACCTGAAGACATGAACATAAATTGGTTAGTCTACAAAATAACTAAAATTTAAGACAAATAAATTGTAGAGAAGTGCATGCATACCTGCAGGTAACGGCTCTTCACATTCGATAATCCCCCCAATCATATTGGCAGGGAAATCGCCAGTCAAAGCCATTTGTCTCGAAGCCCTCTCCGGTATCGAAGGCAATCTGATGCCAGCCATATGCCTCAAAGGCGTCGGCGAAGCTACAGCATTGTCGTTGTTATCATTGTCCTCTATTGGTCTCGGCCTCCTGAACACGACGTCGTCGGGAGGGCCAGCGTGAACGATTGTAAAGTGATTACTATTCACAAACTCTAGATTTGGAGATCTTATCTCCGACGTTCTTAGCTCATTTGTGAATTCCACCATTTCGAAGTTTTCGTGTAGTCTGCCTTCACAGTTTTGAATAGGGGGAGGATGTAAATCGGGGGGTGGCATGGGCCTGGGTCTCCTCGCGTGGTGAGTGGGGGTGGGCGGACACTGAGGCACGGCCGCCCCGGCTAACGCGGCCACCCTTGTCAACACCCTCGGGTGTGGCCGAACAGGACTCTCGACGTTGCTTCTTGAAGCGTTATTAGAGGAGTGCTTTGGTGTACCTTCGCAACCAAGATTTTTCAACAAGTGTCGAGGTAAACTTGAATGCTTCGGGGTTGAACTTTCACATGAGTATTTTCTATTCATTAACATAGTCCCAACGCTGGGAAACATTCTGCTCCCGTCATCAACTGGAGAAGTGGAATGCGATGAGTTACAAGAACTCGGAGCGTTGGAGCTATTGTTATCAGTCTCTCTATTTGGCGCATCTATATGCGAAGAGTTTAAAAAAGCCGTCATCATTGTAGGTGTGTTGGCTCTGACAGAACTTTGCCGCGTAAGAGGTTTATGCCCTTTGACGGTTAGTTCTTTTTCTTCAATTTGATTCCTATTATCATCCTCAAACTCAGAATGATTACTTATGTCGTTCAAAAATGTATTTTGAGCCTTCTCTTCAGATTTGGCACGATTAGGTGTAAGATTGACCCCGTCTACAGTATCTGTGGGGGGACTGGGTTTGTCTTTTCTTGCGAATGTTGTCGTTATGTAGTTGTCAGGTCCTATATCTTTAATAAACATAATGTTTTTCTTATTACTAACGCTAGGGCAACCTTCAGGTACGTTTTTCATTTTCTTTTCTTCAGCTAACCTAGATATTTTCATAGAAGAAACAGTGGATTCACATAAGCTGCCATCTGTTTCGGGAGTTGCTAATGGTGCTACATTTTGACCTCCTCGCCAAAAACTAGCCGTCGAAGACATAGCTATTTGATTACCAGAGTAAAATTCGCCAGGTTTAAAATCATTTATCTCGCCTTGTAACGTTGCCGAATTAGTGATATTGTTATCAGTAAAGAACTGCTCATCTATATCAATTAATTCAAAAGTGAATGTGTCTTCGGGCTTTGACAGTTTTTTTGGCTTTCGATGTCTCGGTACCTGCGGCGGAGACAATGCATGCATTCTCTCGAGCGGTTTGTGCGATTGTCTCGGCGGTAGCGGCGGCACCGGCGATTTTTCCGCATCACTCGGCACATTCGCACCTTCTACATCATATACGAACTTCATTATCTTGCAGGGGTTCTTTGGAGACCATATTTTATAATATTCCGTACCTGGCGACGTCGGTGATTCAAACCCGGAGTTCACTTTTGTTTTCTTTTTGACGCCATTCAATGTGTGACCACCGCCAGTATCGACGGGAGGAGGACATTTCTTTTTTACACCTGAGGACGTGGGCCTACAGTCCATAGCACTCTGAGATTCACTATTTACAGATTGAGATTCTAAATTACTAACTAGAGATTTACTAGCATCACATTTTGTTTGTTCGAGATTCAAATGGTTCCCGTTACTTTCTAAAGCACTAATTGAGCATTTGTCTACGTTGTCGCTGAGATGTTTGATGTCTTGGCTGGAGCTCGCGGGGACGAATTCTACTCTAGGCGGGTTTTCGGAGTTCATTTCAAAACTCTCGTTGTTGTAAGAGAAGGGCGAGACGTGGTCGCCGCTCCTCTTCCTCGACATGCCCTCCTTGAGCCTTGAGGGCAATTTCTTAAGGTCGACTTTAAACCGCGACGGCAGCGTTGGAGATTCCGCGACGCACTCTTCACCTTCGCCATTGTAGTAACGAAAGCAAAGGAGTTGCTCACAATCTGTAAAAGAGAGAAGATATGTTACTATCATCCAATGTGTCCATGTATTATAATGTTTAAATCAAAACAACACATCATTAAGTAGCAAAAAGGATAGGCAATGCGTAATAGAATCACCTTCATAAGGTTGATTAGGCTCATCAAGAAGCCACATTATGTCGCCGCTGGCGCATCCGGTCGCCGGCACGCGCTCGACGATGCCAGCGATACTCGCCGATTCTGCAACAAACGAGAACTCATTATAATTCGAATTCAAAAATACTATGTACCTAACTCGTAATTCAACTTCACTGATACTTAACAAAATTCAGTGAACTCATTTGCATATTATGAGACGTGTGTAAGTATTAAAAATAAATAAAAACTAAAGGTACGCCGTGCAAAATCTCATTTCGACGTAGAGCCGGTACCAGTACCTCTAGTAGGAAAAACTTTCGAGTTCGTTTCGTTGCGTATTCAAAGTGTCATCGAAAAATTTTGTATGAAAAATTAAACAGCGCCCCCTATATTATAGCCGCCCTAGGGGGCGCTGTTTAATTTTTCATACAAAATTTTTCGATGACACTTTGAATACGCAACGAAACGAACTCGAAAGTTTTTCCTACTAGAGGTACAGAACGAAAAACAAAAAGGGCGCAGGTGCAAAAGACTCGACATTAAAAACAAACAACAACCAAGCGAAGTGCACCGCAGACAGACCACGCTGAACCCTTCTGTTTTTTATCTAACAAAAATCAACAGCGGGTGAATGTTGCTCGCGTTCGGCGCAGGCGCATCACAAATTATGCGCCAGACGTAATCACCGGATGCGGGAGTCGCCCGCACATTTTACGCGAAATAATCGGAGCCACCGAATTGCCAGTTAATTGGGGAAACATGGCCATAAATATCACGGGGGCAAATTGATTCCGCAACTGAATTCAGCTGGATCCACCAAAGCATTACCATATTTTGATTGGATTAATATACGAGCGGCCGCCTAACATCTTCCTGCCGTTGATTAAGTGTTCGATCCCGTCGTAAATATCGAAATGAGTGGAAGCATTTTACGTCAAACGCTTTTATTTTTGACCGCAAATAAAGCTCAACGCACCGCATTATACTTAATGCTATAAAAAGGTCGAAGGAAGATCATGCCGAGGAGCAAATAAACTAAACAGTCTTGTAGCAGGATAAATCGCCGTATTATCTCGAAGTTGTTTCCGCCTGGAAATAATTACTCGAGTCTAAATACGGCGGGAGATCGATCGCTCCCATTAGTTTTTTGTTTCCAATAATTTGTTACCCGGCTTTTGGGCAGAGACAGGCTGTTTAGTTTGATTGCGCGCTAAAATTATGTTTAAGCGAGAGTCATTTCCTCTCCAGTAATGGCTAGTGATAAGTAGTGGTTGGTAAGGCAGCCGGCGATGGTGGTGATTAGTTAAGTAAAGTAGTTCATGACGGTGTCGATGACGACACGCGGTGACACAGAGGGCGTCTATTTCCGGTCGGTGACGCAACATCCACGCGCGCTTCCGTCCGCAGGATATGGGAGGAGATACAAGTGTAGCTCGTACGGAGATCAACCACGTTTCCGCGGGATTTGAGATAAACCCAATACGGTGTGTGCCTATTGTTACAAAAATTAGGGTAAACTGAGATGTTTTTTACGCATAACAAACAAGACAGGTATTTGACCGCAATCGCACCTGGTGTTAAATGAGATGCAGTCTAGGATGGTACATATCTACCATGTAAGTGCCTATTCACTCTCGCCCTGAAAAGGCCCGGATTATAATGTTGATGTTCCTGACATAGAAAAATATACCTAGGACTTAAGAATCATGATTTCCACAAAAAGTGTTGATGAGTCGACGTTATAATGTTACTGAGCGTATCCAAATTTCGAGAAAAACTATGATCAAACGAACTTATTTAGCATACAATAGGTTCTTCAGATCTCACGGTTATACGCGATGACGAAGGTGCGAAAAAATTCAACACATTATTTGCTTCCGTTCATTTTCAGGAACTGTAACCACTTAAAATAAAAAATAGACTGACAAAATTCCAATGAGAACATCTGTTTTGCATATCGTCCTCTGATTCTTCGAATCTAGATTTTATTTTTACTTTACTACGACTAAACGTATTTGCTGGTGCGTGAAAATACTACTAGGCATTTAGTTTGTCCGCAGATATTTGTCTAGCAATAGAAAAGAGATTAGCCTGATTAACAAGATCATGCTTCTAAATTATGTCTATGGTTAGCTAGTGGCGGAAGTATGCAGTTAAGTACGGTCATCTCATCCCGGCCATTATGTAGTGCATCTGTCTTGACGCCTACGCCTACTGTTTAAACTCACTTTTTGTCCCACCCATGATATCTTTTTAAGTGGACCCCTCGGTTTCACACGAGATGTGATCATCGGAATGGCGCCGACACCTCGTATCCTTTACCAAACTAAACAACCTGTCAATATGCTCCGTTGACACGCTAAGCACGCATGGCTCCTCGACTTGGTAAAGGTAAGTTTACGCACCCTTAAAATAACATTAAGGGTAACAGATTTAAACAATAGTTCCCATTCCCAAGTGTCTTGAGTCGAACGGGGTTCAAAAGGAAATGATAGTTTAAAAGGGTCGTAGCCGCGATGACAGAATCCCATTAGCGAGTGACGATTCGACAGTTTCGCTGCCACAATTATATCCCTGTTGATGTGCGGCTGAGACGAGCTTTCAGCGCATTAACAACTCGTACGACGAAAGCTTAAACGTGGTTAACTTTTCACCCTCACGTTTCGAGTAGACATTAAAAGAAACGTGTGCATTCACAGGTCCGTTTGTGGCCTCCATAAAATCGCCTAATGCCTAATGGTAATGCATTTTAAAATTCCTTTTCATTCATTGAAAGCTCCATTAAGGTCCGGTTAATTTTACGAGTGGTGGCCACTTAAAATTCCCTGTGGTCCACAAATCGTACCGGATATTGGGAGTTTATTCAGTGCTGGTTCCATTAGCACCTTCAAGATAGTGCGGTGACAGTTATCGCGCTGAATGTCAATGATGACTGATGAGCGGGTGGCACCAGACAGACGGCGAAGGGCGAGGGTGACACAGTATTTATTGTGGAAAATGGAAAAAAATCCAATAAGAAAATATCACGCGTAAATAGATGCGAAATTGCAAACTTCATTATTTTATGGAAGAAGAAACAGGTATACAATTGATTAGAATTATTGTGAGTCTTGTTAGGGATTCAAATGGAAATGAAGAATTGCTCTATGCAACTTTGCAAATAGTGAACAAACCTATTTTGAAATGTTATACGATAAGATATGAATTAATTATTTGATCACATAAAATTCAAAGATAAGTTTACTACAGGAAACTAGAATTTACAAAGTAAACAACTTTATGCACATAATGCATTTGCACATAATGATGATGATAAAATTATACGCAATAATTGCTAACTTGCAAGAAATAAGGTAAAATAATGACTGCCATTCATCGTCTTGATTAATATTTACCTGAACACAGCATAATCACGTGTTTCTAGTTATTGATCGTACAATTTCGCAGAAAAACACTTTGCGTAGTAATAATCCAATATTTTCTGGCCTCTGTTTTTCAAATGTGAGTCATTCTAATCGCTATTCAAAGTGCGGGTGCGCGCCTCCAGTAAAACTGGAATGGAAACCGTAGATAATGTCGTCTAACAAACGGGAATGTGAGTCATTATTGCATTAAATCGTTTTTACGTCAATCAAATTGCTATCTGAGAACAATCTCGACATGTTTACTTTAATGTGTTGTCAGCTAACGATTATAATGGGCGAAGATCGTTTGCGGGCTTGTATAAACAATGAAAACACTACTTCAATGTTTAGTGTCTCAATCAACTGACTCTAATACCGGCTTACGGTTTCATTCATATAAGGAGCAGCTGAGCCAGCACTACATACGGCAAAGCCGACGCCTCTCATAATAGCTACTCGTGCTAGTTTCCCAAAAAGGGCAGCAGCGGAGGCGCCCGTTATCACCATCTGCGTTGACTCGCTCTCTTGGCATGTCGATAATCGGAGCTATTAGAGACCGAACGAACTTGAATTTACAATGATCTATTTATATGGGATCGACTGTTTTATTATTATTGCGGTAAAGAAAACAAATTCTTATCTGAGAAGACGGTTTGCGAGCGGCCGGCGCCGGCTCATGTGGGCGGCGAGGGCGTAGCGTAACGCCGGGATGTAGTGGTTCTCAAACAGTTTCATTAACCATAAATATAAATTTAAATAAGATTGTCTCTATCTACTTCGGAGTCGGATTATCGACTATCGAGTTGAATTTTTTGAAAATTACAACTGTCTACAGCATTTTTGCGCACGGGTTATGCATAGCTTATTTTTATTGCTTTATGACCTAGAAATAAGAATAACAACAAAAAATTGTTCTGAATTTGCTTTTATGTGTAAAAAATAGAAAAATTCATATCAATGAATGTATGAAACATGAACATAGAGATGATTCAATGTGTTGCCAAATATATTTTTTTCTTTCATTCTTTCTAATTATTAAAACATACCAAACATCCATTTAAGATTCATTCTCATAAGAGAAAATTTAAAATAGAGTCCAAATATTTATTAAAAATGAAAAGTTCTAATTTCCTGTTATGTTCCATAGAAGATTTTTCGCATAAAAATCTAACCCTATCATGCTTTCAGTATACTGGCCTTGGTAACGTCGTCTCTCAAATCTTACTATATTTTGATGAAAGCGTGCCCCTTGTTCTTGCGAATAAGCCTCCATAATTATTTATAAATATATCCCAATGAGAATGGGACGTGCATCTTTAGAGACATTCTACTATGAAGATGGAAAATTCAAATCGCTATAACTTCTTAAAAAGCAAATATTTTCGATTTGTAATCGCACTTTTTTGTATAAATTTGCTTATATAATCAGAATATAATAAGTAAAATCCAAGCGCAAAAAAAAATTTTTTTTTGTTGACCGGTGTTATGTTTGACGTAAATTAATCTGAGGTTATCCTCTTATAAGAAGAGTCCTATTTAAGAGAATGTTAAATTGCCAATTAGGCGTAATTATGGGAATCATTCCGTATGATTAACTTCAAAACATCAATTGGAGCACTTGACAGAAGTGTTTGTTTTTCGTATTGGGAACCACTGTCCCGGAGCGAGTATATCAAGGCGGACGGCTGCAGCGTGTCA